TTACCAAACCATTCCAAAGCTCCAAAGCAGGTCAGTTATGCTGTTACACGTCACAGTGTACCTTTGATTACTGGATGAAGTAAGAGGGACTCTCTGGCCAGTAGTGATGAAACTGGCCTCCCTCTGACTTGTACCTGCTCCAAGCCTCACAGACCCCTTGGAGACCACTGGCTTAGCATTGTCAGTGTTGGCATCCACGGTGCATGATTTAGGAGGATGCCAAATACTTGAGGTCACATACTGTGGCACATGCGTAGTAGCTGTAGGCCTGGGTAACAAAGATTACAAGGGGATTTGTAAATGAGGTATTTATTAACACCGATTTCCTAGGGAACGGCGGGTATTTGAGGGAGAGACAGAATTCCAGCCACAGAAGAAGCCGATGGTTTAATAGAAAAAGGCTCATTCAATTTTTTTAGTTTTCAGAGATACGTGTGCTTACTGCCTTCCATACCAAGTAAAGAGCCTTTTGGAATGCTAATACTGCTGGCCCTTTAAGACAGCAGTTGTTATTTATACGGAATAAAGCCTTCAGGGAAAAAAAAAAAAAAGGAAAACTAAGAAAAGTGCTGAATCTCATAACCGAAAAGTCAAAGTAAGTCTAGGTTTAATAATGAAGGCTTTACTTTTCTGTCTTTTTCCTGGAAGATTTATATCTGTAAATATCCAGTGTCCTCTTTTTGTATGCCCAAATTCCTTATATCATAGGAGATCATCATGATATCGCAGAAGTCGTCATGGCCAATTTTGATCGTTTATTAGTTTATTACTGCTTAAGACCAAGAAAGGCTTTAAGAATTAAAAAAGGTACCTTGTGTTAAATCTGGAAACCATATTGCTAGGAATATCAAAATAAGACACATAGCAGAGCTGTGATGTGGAGAAAAGCCATGGTGTGACAAACCATGCAAGATGAAGGCAATGTAGTATGACACTAACATCAGTCATACATCAGAAATTGTTCCTGGTAAAATAAAATAAAATAAAAATAACAAAAAAAAAAGATATTTCAGTGGAACAGCTGCATAGTCCTGTAGATGATTTTACACAAATGAAACTGCTAGTGAAATGCTAACATGTGTTACTTGTTTTTTCGTTTAATTTATATACAGTTGTTATACAAGAATCAAGGGGTTTATTTCATTCTTTTGGCATAATTAAAAATAAAAATCAATTTTCCCTACTGTTCCAAGTGCCAGCTGCCATTGCTCGTGTCATTAGTAATGATGATGCTTGCACTTGGATTTTAAGTCTATGCAACTTTTGTTCAAACGTGAGCAGTCTTATAAAAAACAAAAATAAAAAGTGGTTGCACATTGTTTAGGCAGGAATCAACAAGAAAGAGGAAAGCAGGGAGACAGAATTCCTTTCATGACAAACTAATAAGAGGCATTTCTTTGGTCCATTAAACAATTGGTCAGATTCACTCAAGAAGTACCTGTGTTTCAGTACTTCTGTGTTTTAGTATATGGACCAATAGAAAACAATAAATTTCTATATGTAACTGCAAAATGTGCTGAGATTCTTTGGAAGAAAACAACTTTTGAAACATAAGACTTTACTTACAGAGATACTATGTTTTGAGCCTCATAACCCATCAAGGATCAATCAAGATATGCAAGAATCTGATATGTAAATGTTCTTAAAGTACCAGAAAGATAATCTGATTTAGATTTTAAGAACATTTTGAACAATCTAGGCCAAAGTTTAAAATGGAAGTTGTTCCTAAAACTCAATTACAAACTGACAATAATCCATTTCAATACATTTCATAAAAACTTCTTCTTTTCCAGATTTAGAAGTTCTGAGAAACAAGATCCTCACCTGCCCCATCTCACAGAGGTTTTTTGAATTCTACATTAGAAAGAAATGCCTAAGAAACCCACTTAGCTGAAACCTCTACATTCATCATCTGCTTAAACAGTGTACATGTTTTTGAGGTAAGAACAATATAGGAAAAGTGGAGGTAAACTCTGAATAGGAGGCAAGCCAAACACGCAGAGCAAACATTACCTGTTTTCTGATGCTGCAGCAACATTTTCCTTTTCTCTGTGAAAGGAGGGGATACAGCATGAATAAAACAAATGCAATTGCCAGTGGTGGCAAAAAAACCCCAACAAAACGCCCACCAAAACAGGGAGAAAGAAGATGGGTTGAGGAGAAATGTTTGGTTGCAAAAAGCATCCTAGAGTGGTTGCTTAAAATATAGTTGTGAGAAACCTCTTCAGCTCTCCAAGTGAAACCCACCAAATATGCAAGTTTACTGTATGCTTCTTCTCAGCTGCAAACAGCTTTGTTTCAATATTAAAGTAAAATGAAGGAAAATTAACAGTTACAAAATAGATATTGTATCTATGTATATAACTTCAGGCATAGTTTTGACTTTAGTTCCCTCTTAAAAGAAAATTTCAAGACTATTCCAGCAGAACATATTCTGATGCCAACTCCAAACAGTAAAAATAATCAGACTTGGGCAGTCCTCAAGGATCCAATATTTTGAAGTGATAAGCAGTTAAATGGTTAACAAAAACGCATACAAGGTGGATTGTATATGTCTGGCATCACTTAAAAATTCTCTGTCCTACCCAAGTAAGTACTAGTTTTCTCAGTGTAAGAGATCAGAAACAAGTGAAATCACTCCTTCGTTGAGGTGAGGAGTAGGTCAGCCCCAATTTCAGCAACAGAGAACTAGGCAGTTATTCTGTAAACACACATATACGCTTACAAAAATAACTGAGCAGTTTAAGTGCAAGCAATTGTGTATCTGTAAGAAGTTAAGACATAGGTATTTTCATAAAGAATAGAATCTTTTAGCCTTAGACTCCTAAGTTTGAAATCCAGTTAAGTAATTGAGATTATCTTAATATTTAGCAATTGAGTGGGTGGTTGCATCCTTTGCTATTTACGGAATTTCAACATGTTTAAAGTTGAAATATGCCAAATAAGAACATTTTTCTTAAGTGGGATCTAAAATTATAAAATACAAAGCAAATGTCCTCATTTACCCAACTGAACGTTCTTTCTGAAAAGTCCTTAGAAAAAAAGGAATACATGTATTTATTTATGTGGATTTGTTGGGCTCCAATCATTATCTTTCATTATGCTTGGAAGACTATTCTTAATATTTCCACATTATCAGAGTATTTCTTACATTTCTCTCTGCGTTTCTGTATGTACACATACATATATACATATAGTCACATGCTCTTTCCTTAGTTTAGCTCCAATACAGTTATAAAACCCAGTCCAATTTAAGTCAGCAAAAATTTGGGCATAGGTGTTCTCTGCCAATTTAAAAACCTCTAACTAAAATGTAACCCCTAAAATACATGAATTCAAGACAGATTTTCAAACCCAGAAGCAGATATGAAGTGACCCTCAGAGGTGGCTGTCTGGCTAAGAACGTTATTATGGTCAGGACAGAAGAACCTGACTTGAAAGTAAACGCCCCAGTAAGATCAATTGTTCACCACTCTAAAGCAATGAGAAACCAAACACTATCTTTATGGTAACCAAGCCGTGAGTTCACTGGAACATCAGGTATAGGAAAGCCAGGATGAAACAAGGTAGAAGAGGATGGATTAGAAAGTGTCCATGGCGGAGGGAAGCGTTAGTATACCAAGAGCCATAATCATGCAAGAATGTTAAAAAACACAGTCACAGCCTGAAAAGAATGAATCATTTTTTATTTCCAGTGTTATCAAATATTCTATGAGAAATTACAGTCAGGCAAGACCAAAAGGCAGGCAGTTGGGGTCAGCCAGAAGCAGCGTTAGGCCTCTCTTGTTCCTATTAATCTGATCCAAACTTTTCTGCTCCGCTAGCTGTGGCTATACTGAAGAGTGCAGAAAAATGTCTCTTGACTTTGAGGTTGGGATTTCACAACAGCTTTTTCCATGACCGTACACGTATAGGATAACATTGAGTGACAGTGGCAGGGGAGATGTGAAGTTTAGAAAGAGAGATAAGTATAGTAACCATACTTCCATAGAATAAAGCAAAGGAAAAGGCAGAGAGTAAAGGGAAAGATGAGCTCAAAGGCACACAATACTTCTTGATGGTTTTGCTTCCAGGAACTATTTCTCTTCGCAGTCAACAGGAGGAATTCCTGTTTGGCTAACAGTGAGAAAGGCTCAAGATCAGATGTGTCTCTTATTGGCGATACTTGCATTTTGAGAAACAGACTATTGGATTTCCAGCCTTTAAAATCAAACGTTTTTTGCTAATTAAATAGAGAATTAATTTTACTTTCGAGACAAATACAACCCTGGCTCAGTGAAATCAATACTTTCACAACATGAAAGAATTTGGCTCAGAATATTGTGAACAGTTTGTATCTCTGTGGCTACACAGGCTCTTCAAGTAACTGACAGTAGTGGATAGTAGTTTTGAGCTACCTGGGAGAGATTTAATATTAATAATTTTTTAGTCTGCAGCCCTTTTAGTCCCCAGCTGAAATGGCTTTTGATAGAAGGGCTTTAGTCAATGACTGTTCTGAGACAACAGTGGCACTCCCACAGATTTTATTTAATATCGGACGTGTATCTCAAGATTTGTTTATGCAATATACTGGCTTCCCAATTACACAGTATATTATACAATGGAAATTATGAAAAGTTTCCTTCTCATAAAAATATGCTGCATGATATAGTCATAAAGACAGAGTGAATGAAATGATAGAAATTGAGTCTTTCCCTCCCACACACTAGTGAGAATTATAATAGTTTAAGTTACGAAATGTTAAAATTCATTTGTAAGCCGAGCTTGTCTGTGCTATTGGAGCCTAAAAAAAGCCTGAAGGAACTTCAGACAGTTTTCATCACATAGTCTGTTGAATCTGAACTGTATGCACTGGACATTGGAATACTTTCCCATTCTATTATATTTTTGGAAACCGAATGTAAAAGATTCCCAAACAAACAGGTACGTTTAACAGGCAATCCAAGATGTGGAGCTTGTATACCTTCCATCTACCTTCTCCTTAGAGAATAACAGAGCTAGACTCTCTCTCTTGAATAGTTCCTCTGTTCCATTAAAATATTGTAGAGACAGAATAATTTAATCTGTAATGAAGATGTGACGACATAAGGAACATTATGCATCCCAAGAGACCAGATGGTCCTTTAACTCTTCTCTCTGTTTCAGTACTGAAGCAATAAGCAAATACTATAATTGATTTTTTACTCCATACGTTAATTGACTAAGACTATTTTTCTCATTTTACAAATGAGGAACTAAATAGAATTGCTCATGGTCAAAAAGAAGGCCCGCAGCAGGGCAAAAAACTGAAATAAGCTCTCCTGAATCCCAAATGAGTATTTAAAATATTAGCTCACCCTCTTAAATGAGAGATTATGGATTTTTTATTTAACTGAATATTACTATTCAGTTTATCAATATTTTCCTGTATTGATCAGCCAATAGTCTTACATATATATATACTGGCCTTTTGTCAAAGAGGAAATAGTTATTAAGACTTACAGATTATAAGGTACTATATCTATTAAAATAAAAAAATCCATTTTCCTAGCAGTATATTGTGGATCTGCAGGACTTGCCCTTATTAGACATAATAGATTTCATCTTAACGTGTTCTTATACTTACATAAACATATTTGTCTACAAATAAAATCTAATTTTAAGAATTAGAAGTCACAAAATAACTTTTTAAAAATTCTTATAGGGTGTCTGGGAGTAAAGTTGTCTGAAAGGTATTTCATAATTGCCTTCCAAACATTTTTGTCTCAAAGGCATGAGACACTGACACTGTTGGAAACTGGACACTGAGCTAGATTTACTGCTGTTCTGATCCAGTGAGGCTGTTTCTACCTTTCTGTATTTGCAGCTGAGAATTTTTCCATGGTCATAAGAATATAAAAGACTGTTTGTCTTTCCCCCTGCCCCACCAAGCTATATTTTTGTTATCCTAACAAAGACACCATAAGACACACAAGGAAATCATAGGTGGTTAACTGGAGAGGACAGAAGACAACTATCATGCTGGTTTAGTTAAAATTTTAGCTTGGGATCAGAAAAAAGGGGAGAAGAGCTAGTCTCTCTTTTTCAGCCACTGTAGTTAAAAATGTGAGCAGCCCACGCCAAAACAATTGCAATATATCCTACTAGTATGTCTGCTTTCCAAAACAGGGAAATACATTTCTCCCAGAAGGTATCCTGGTTTGTTCAGACAGTGCCACAGAATAGGAAAAGCATTATCATAAATTCAGTGAGGAACAACCAACCGACAACTATTCTTAGCAAGCAGTATGGAACTCAATCAAAGCAGCTCACTAAAATCAAAGCAAATACCTCCTATGGATGCATTTCAGTGGCCTCCACTGGTGCGCTGTTACATTTAACAGTCAAATAATAAATGCAGCTGGAAATACAGCAGCATCAGTGTTGGTTAAAGTTACGATAACTCTGTTCCAAGATTTACATAGTGATACTTGGCATCCAAGTATAGGTACTCCAATTTATCTTATTGGTAAACACATCACTTTAGTAAGAACAAAGACCGCAAAATTCTGAGTATGTGGAGCAATTTGAGCTGAGATATATTTCAGATAGTTCCCTATCTTGGCCTTAAGCATGCAATTGGTTTTATCTGAATGGTTCCCTTTAGCTTTTTATAGCTCCACTTGTAAAGTGCAGGTATCTGGCATGAGGCACCTGAATGCAGGTTCAGGACTCTCAGTTTGTATTTGTGACCATGCCAGACAAAACCGATGCACAACAAGTTCGGGTATTGTACACCAGGAAATTATTCCCCTTCCACAGAAGTTTTTTTTCTCATTATAACTTCACTTTTCTCCAGGGAAGTCGAGAGAAAAACAAGAACCCACAGATCTCACTTTCAGCCGGTAGTTTTTTAGAGCTCCTTTTTAATTTGTGCACATCGATGATAAGAAAATTTGTACTTTCTCTGCATGGTATTTTCCTAAGCATCCAAAATATACTAATGTGTCTTTTCTGTTCAGTTCCTGAACCAAATAAGTAAGCAGTATGAATTAGAGCAGTTGTCATTCTTTCCAAATGTGGATTACATT